TCAGAAACAAACCTGGCTAGTGAGCTTGATCCTAACTGATAAACAAACAAGGCAACTAAAATTTGAACTTAACAGCATAACACCTAACATCCCACTGCACCTCTCATAAACAAACCTGCTGGTGCATACCCACTGCGTAAGGCAGTCCAGCAAAATAAGCTTAATATACAGCATTCCACAGCAGCCACCGAAATCCATTCCTACACCAGAAAATAGCAGCCATCCCCCTGCAGATCCTCTCACAAGCAAAGCAGCATATAACAGAAGGGGCAGAACACAGCAACCATTCATCATATCAGCAGCATAAACCTTAGCAAACAGAACACCACAATTGCAGCCCAGATTCAGCAGTAACTCCCGACAGACACCACAAACACAGCATACATGATCCGCAGGTTCTCCACATATCTCAGATGCATAACAGCACCTGACTCAGGTTCTCCACTATGTGATGCACTGAGTAATGGACAGAAGGCAATGAAGCTCGAACCCACAACCCCACCCTCACTTTTACTAACTCACCAAGCTCCAACATATCTGGTAGATGACCCTTGAACACAATCTCATTCCTAAGCCTCCATGTTGACCACAGCATTGCCACTGGGACCATCACCCAGATTTTCTTTACTAGTTTCCTATGCTTAGTTCCCAACCACCAGGAAAGAACTCCATCCACAGTAGTAGGAGAGACCCAGTATAAATTCCACCACTGCAGCAACCTTCCCCAAACCTTCCATATTTCAGGACACTGCACAAACAGATGATCTACTGATTCTTCTGCAGCAAGACAGAAAGGGCAGGCAACATTTGCATTACCCCCTAACACCCCTAGTTGCAGAACAACTACAGACTTTACCCTTCCTCTCCAAGCCAGCCAACACAAGAATTGGGCTTTAGGTGGTGCCAGATTATTCCATATCATCTTAGGAACCTGTAAGCTAGTTCCAGAATTTTTCTGAAGCCAAGATCTCACAGATGCCACTGTGAACACACCAGACGAGGATGCTGTCCACTTTACACCATCACACAGATTGTCATCCAACCTGGGGACATCCTTAGTTAACTCTTGCAGCTTTCCTACCTCCTCTACCTCCCAAGAAAACAGAGGTCTTCTAAACTGTAGACTCCAAGGACCATCACTATCCCTCCTCTGCATAAAGTAACTGAGCTTTTCTTCTTTCTCCATAGAAAGCCTAAATAACCTGGGAAATTCCTCTTTCAACTTCAAATTCATGCACCACCTATCATGCCAAAACAAAATCCTACTCCCATTCCCTACCACAATCTGTAGTTTGAAACAAAAAATTGGTACAACTCAGGATTTAATGCAGCCACACTCAGGATATCACTCCACACAACAGATTCCTTACCTTCCCCATTCTGTATTGGGAGCCACCTGCCTCCATCAGCCCCGTACTCGCTGACAATAACCCTCTTCCACAGTGACTCATCCTCCACCCCATACCTCCACCACCACTTTAGTAACAAGCAGTCATTTGATTCCTTAGCCTTCCTTATACCCAGCCCTCCCTTATCTTTACTAAGTGTTACATCCTTCCACTTTACCATATGAATCTTCCTCCGTAACTCAGAACTGCCCCATAAAAAAGCAGCCTTCAACTTATCAATTTCCTTTGCTATTCCTTTGGGCAACTTGAAAATGGAGATATAGTACCCCGGTAAACTATCCATAACTGATTTGACCAGTGTTAGCCTACTAGCAAAAGACAAGAGCTTCCTTTTCCAAAGAGCTAATCTTGACTTAACCTTATCCACCACATGTTGCCAAGTTTTTGTTCCTCTAGGATTTGCACCAAGAGGTAAACCTAAATACTTGATAGGTAACTTCTGAGTTACACAATGCATAGACGAAGCAAATACCTGAACCTGATCATCACTTATGCCTACACCACACACCACACTTTTATGAAAATTAATTGTCAGCCCTGACATCACCTCAAAGCATCTAAGAATTCTTTTGACATTAACAATCTCCTCCCACTCTGCTGCACAAAATAAGAGAGTATCATCTGCAAACTGGAGGTGAGATAATTTCAACCCTGTAGATCCAACAGTAGCTCCTTTTATTACACCCAAACTCTTAGCCCTTTCCAACAGCAGATTCAACCCTTCTGCTGCAACATTGAACAGGAAGGGTGACAGCGGATCACCCTGTCTCAACCCCTTTTGGGGGCAGAATTCATTCGTAGGAGAACCATTAACTAAGACAGAAACTCTAGCTGTGGTAACACAAGTTTTTATCCATCTAATCCACCTTTCTCCGAACCCTAAATTTGCCATCATGGAAAGTAGATACTCCCAATTAATTGAATCATAAGCTTTTTCAAAGTCCAGCTTTAAAATGACTCCCTTCCCATTTGACTTCTTCCACCAATCCACAACCTCATTAGCAATCATGACTCCATCAAAAATGTTTCTTCCACCTAAAAAAGCTGTCTGAACTTCACTGATGACTTTTGGTAACACCTTCTTCAACCTTCGTGAAAGCACCTTTGCTAAGATTTTATAGACAACCCCCACCAAACTAATAGGTCGATAATCTGACAAACCTTTGGGACACTATTTTTTTGGGACAAGTGTGATGAAGGAACTATTTAGTCCTCTAACCAGATTACCATGATGGTAGAATTCCTTCATAAAGTCAAACAAGTCATTCTTCATGAACTTCCAACATTTCTGAATACATGCCATGTTGAATCCATCCGGCCCTGGTGCTTTATTCCCATCACATTCTTTCACTGCTTCCCAGACTTCTTCCATTGTAAACTCAGGTTCAAGAACCTCCTCCCTATGAGCATTACTAATTGATGCAAAGTTTCCAGACATCTTAGGCCTGGATGGCCACTCTTCAGCAAAAGCCTTTGAGAAATATCTGACCACTTCAAGCCGCACAAGCTCAGGATCTTCAATTCTAACCCCATTAACTACCACTGAGTCCACCATATTTCTTCTTTGCCTCTTACTGGCACAAATGTGAAAATACCTTGTGTTCTTATCCCCAAGTTGGGCCCAATTCAACCTAGACTTTTGGAACCATAGCCAGTCCTTTCTTTTTCTAAGCTTCCAAACCAAATGTTTTGTCTCCCTTCTAGATTCAATCTCAACGGAGGTCAATTCCCTGAACTCTGCTAACAGGTCAAATTCATGCAACTCCTCCTCTGCTTTTGCCTATTGCCATTCCTTTGAGAGGTAACATTAGCCCTTCCCTAGTTGAAATGCAGCATTTGAATTATTTGGACCTTAGTAACAATAATTTCGAAGGCAGTCACATACCCGAGTTCATTGGTTCTCTCAGCAATTTACGTCACCTCAATCTATCTTATGCTGGATTTGGTGGAACAGTCCCCTCTCAACTTGGGAACCTTTCCAAGTTGCAGTCTCTTGATCTTAGTCCTTATGGTGGTATGAATGTCCAAAACCTTGAGTGGCTTTCTCATCTTTCATCTTTAAGACACCTTAACCTGCAAAATGTGGACCTTAGCAATGCTAAGGAGTGGTTTCAATCAGTTAATAAGCTCCCTTTGCTGACTAGCTTGCGCTTAGGTTTATGTACACCACGTAAATCTTCTGCCTAACAAAGGAATTTCCACCAACTCCATTTGGTCAATGAAAGTATTAAATTCTACCATTCCTCTGTCTCTCCTTACACAGCCTCTTCTATCCTCTATATTTCTAATAACATTAAAATCCCCTCCCATACACCAGGGCCTTTGGAAACTAGTTCTAATATTACCAAAGGTGTCCCATAACTCTGCTCTTTTGGACACATCATTAGGCCCATACACATTTAAAAAGACACATTCAAAGGAATTAAGAGTTACACCTGATAAGAGCAGGAAATTTCTATGACCGCAACACTCCTGTAGTTGAAACACCTCTGGATTCCATATGCTCAATAGCCCTCTAGCACTACCTTCAGAATCAACCGCCATAAACGCCATCCTCTCCCAAGGCCAAAATGAGCGAACAAACATCTCTTCCATACTACTTTTTTTTGTTTCTTGAAGAAGCAGGACATCCACCTTTCTATCCTGAATAACCTGTCTAACTCTCTGCCGTTTATCTGCTCTACCCAACCCTCTGACATTCCAAGACATTATCTTCATTTATAACTATTTAATCCCCCAAAGAAACCCCAAGCTTTTAGTCAATTAAGTTTGACCCAGCACACCCCCTATCTCCTTTACCAATCGTTCTTCTTCTTGTTGCTCCATCTGAACTATTCTTTGAATTACTTCAGCCTCTTTGCCTTCACAGTTCATCCCCAATCGTTTACCAAGCTGCAGGATTTCTCTTGCTTCCTCCACTCTCTTCTTCCTTCTCCTACTCTCCTGACTTTCTTTAGACAAGGACTGAGATAAGACCGCAGCTGCTGCCCTAAAGACAACTCCTCTATTAAACCCAGATACGAACGAAGTTTGGGTGCTTTGAGCTCTCCTTTTCCCCCTTCCTCTGGTACCTCCAGCTCCGCCCATCCTCCTTCGAATACCACCATTTCTCACCACCGATTCTGGTTTGTTGACTGTGGGCTGCACATCCTCATTGCTTGGACCGCCTAACACCCTTATTTGGTTCAGCTTGGGCTGGGCTCCAGCACTATGAACTCTGCCAAACCCCCTATTATTGATTGATGCCGCAGGCCCACTTTGATCACCTCTTAACTGAGCCCCTTCCAGCACTACCTCAATATTGATACTCGACCCAATTTTATCAGACCCACTAAGGCTTTTAACAAACCCAGGGGTCACAATATCCTCTTCACCCACTACTTCCCCAAACGTTCTTCTTGAAGTCTCCATCTGCAGCTGCAACTGCTCCTCTGCCAGACAGCTCACCCCATTGTTTGGTTTCTCCGCCTTCCCCTCGGTAACAAGCAAGCATGTTTCTGGCACCTGACTATCAGAACCTGCACCATTCATCTCACCCCTAGGCTGCACTGCTGCGTAGCTTCCATCTCTTGGTAACATGCTCTTTCTACATTAGTCCACCACATCACTGCAAGCCACCTCAATCCCTCTTGTCTTCACTATGCTGCCTCTCTGATCCCCTCCAACATTTGAATATCTATCCATCTTCTCCTCACCCTGAAGACCGATGGACATCTTCCACCCATTAACAGAGAAGCTCTTACTGCTCGCTGACATCTCCACAAACTCAGGACATTCACAAACCCTTACTGGGTACAAGACTCCCTTGCAACTCAATCGAACAGTCCTATTGATAAGCTCCATGGACTTTGTGATGACTCGTATTTTCCCACAGCAAAAAGAGACATGCTTGATAGTATCCTCATGCACCTGCACTACTTCTCCCCAGACAGCCCCTATACTTTTGAATGTAGTCACACTCCATAAATTGAAAGGAACTCCAAAGCAGTTAATCCAAACACACCGTTCTTGGAGGACACAACATCTCGGATCCCACTCCTCCATTGTGCTACACCAGTCAAAAATCCATTCCTTAAGTTCCTCCTTCTGTCTTTTCATCACCATAACTGATGGGAACGTTAGGATTACAAGTCTACCTTCACCGGCTCTAACTAATACCTCCTGAAGACCCCTCTTCTGACATTCCTCCTTGAAAGCTGAAAGGGAAAAGAAGGTATGCAGCTTGATTATCAGGCTTTCATACAGCCACCCATTACCCTCTTCTGAAGCTTGAACCACCACTTCCTCTCTACCCTGTGCCACACCTTTTCCAACTGCCTCCGCATATGATTTTGGCCCTCCTAGGTCCTGCTTAATCTGCTTTCCTCCTCTGTGATCAACCCAGTGCCTGTTCCTGACCATATTTTGAGCCCTCTGATTAAGTCCCCCAGACTGTTTGGTTTTGTCAAGGTCTTCCCTTTTGAACTCAGCCCCTTTAACCCTCAGAGCTTTATCATCACACCACAGCCCATCCGCTCTTTGAACTGCCATCTCAGCTGCAACCGAACAATCGTACCTTACGAAGCCAAACCTCGAACCAGTGATCTTTCTCCTTTTCTTTGGGATAAACACATCCTTAACAATGCCAAACTTTGCAAACAACTGAAACAGGCTTTTCGGATTCATTGATTCAGGGATGTTATCCACAAATACTGTAAATAGTTTCCCTCCCTTTGAGTCCCTTGTAGCCTTTATCATTCCTCGTCGATGAAATACCGGTTGCCAACCTCCACGAGAGACCATGACTTTATATATATATATATATATATTATATTGATACTTTTTCATATTATGGAACAATTGTGTGAAACAGCACCTCTCCAACAAAAAAATTGTGTTGAAAATAGTAAACTTGTTTTTAATAATTTGAGAGTTACTACATTATGGTCCAGTTATCATGTGCACCTTTTTAATCTACTGTTGAATGACCTAGACTTAATCCAGTTATCTGTGTATTTGGAGGCTACAAAGCCATGAATGAAAGTTGAAGAACCTCTTAGAAAGAGAAGTTCAATTTGGTTTTGGTTTGTTGTTGTGTGTTTTTTCTTGTATTTAGATTATACGTTTACATTGTAAGATTAGTCTATAAATAGATTGAGTGGTTAATTGTTTGATAAGAGTGTGGGAGAAACAAAAATAAGAGAGTGATTTTTAATATATGCTCTGTTTGTTTTATGAGTGAATTTAAATTGAGTTTCGTTTAGTATTAATTCTCTCTTTGTGAATCACAACAAGTGATTTACATCTCACTCCCATCAACAAGTGGTATCAGAGCTAGAAGAGTCAAGGATTGGTCGAATTTCGTAAAAACAAATTACAAAACAGAGCAAATTTCATAATCTGAAAATTTTAAAGTTGTCAAAATCAATTTTTGATCATACTAGTGGGTATCCCTCGTTGAGACGATCGTTATGGAAAAACGGAGTTAAAACGAAACTATACGAGCTTATCAAAGTTTGCAGAAAAGTCAACTCTGTCATTGGAGACGACCACTGCTGACGTCATCATCACCATTGCTGATGTCATCATACCGGAGTTCACAAGAAATTATTTGGTGATTTGCGAGTCACGAATTCAACAGATCTGAACCGACCAAATTGTTTTGGCTTAATCTAAGTCATCTGAAGTCCGATTGGGATGATCCAATAGTCCTTTCAAGCTATTTGGAGTATTTTGAAAACATATGTATGGTCAGAATTTGCAAATTACATTCTAAAAATTTACAATTTTGTTATCAAGATTAAAGTCAACCAATGGCCAATGCCCTTATTTCAAAACTTATGAAGAATAACTCCGACAATTAGTGCATCCAAATGAGAGCACTGCTTGGTACTCAAGACATCATGGACATTGTGGAAAACGGATATGCAGAACCTGCCTCAAAAGAAGAAGAAAGTGCCTTGCACGAAGTAGGAAAAACAATTCTTCGAGACGATCAAAAGAAAGATTGCAAAGCAAAATCCATCATATATCAAGGTCTTGATACATCCACATTCGAGATCATCGCCTCCTCCAAAATAGCAAAAAATATCTGAGAAATTCTCCACGTTACTCATAAAAAGGTGCCGAAAAAGTAAAGAGAATTCTCCGCCAAACTCTACAAGGTGAATTTGAATATCTACGCATGAATTCTTTAGAATCTATTTATGAATACTATTTAAGAGTAATGGTGGTTGCAAACCAATTAAACCGGAATGGAGACGCCCTTATTGATATGAGAATATCAAAGAAAATTTTGAGATCCTTGGATCCAAAATTTGATTATATTGTTGTCGCTCTTAGAGAAACCACCCCGCAGAAGAACTTATGGGTTCACTACAAGCCCATGAGTGGAAAGTGATGAGAAGAAATGAAGACAAAGGGTTGAAACAAGCCCTACAATCAAAGTTGCGCCTTATTGGAGAGAGATCTGAGCAAGGAGAGACATCACAAAGATGACAAGGATCTAGTCAAACCTATCGAAAAAGAAGTTCTGGAAATTTTTATTCCAGAGGAAGAAGAGGAAGAGGTTTATCTCAAGGAAGATAAGGACAAAAATGCTATGTCTTGAGAGGAAGAGGAAAGAAGAGGTGGTTACAATAATCGTTAGAATTTTGATAAAAGCAATGTCCAGTGTTACCATTGTCACAAGTTTGGTCACAACAACAAAGAGTGCAGAAGTAAGCAATTATCCAATAAAGTTGTGAAAGAACTAACTATGTAAAGAAAGAGTCCGCTGACAAAGATTCATTGAGCCTGATGGCGCACAATGCAACCGAACACAAAGAAAGATATTTAGTTCCTCGACTCTGGAGCTAGTAAACATATCACTAGCAAAAAGAGATTATTGACTAAGCTATGAGAAAGTTCATAGAGAAATCTCATTCAACGACCTTTCCAAAGTCCCAATTCGAGGAAGATGTGATATTTTGATCAAGAGGAAGAATGGAGATCGTGCTTTCATCTCCAATGTCTATTATGTTTCAAACATGAAGACTAACATATTGAGTCTTGGACAACTCCTTGAAAGGGGCTATCAAATTAGCCTGAAAGATATGATATTCACAATTTTAGACACTCGAGGGAAGTTGGTAACTCAAGTAAAGATGGTGAAGGATAGAATGTTTCCTCCCACCATTTATCATGAGACACCAAAGTGTCTAAGTGCAATGATAAATGACAAAGACTGGATGTGGCACCTCAAATTCAGACATCTCAACTTTGACAACTTGAAGTAGTTGGAAACCAAGAACATCGTGAAAGGTATGCCCAATATTCACCAACCAACTAAGATGTGTGAAACCTATATTATTAGCAAGTAATACAGGAATAGCTTCGGAAGAAAGCGAATTGGAGAGCAACCAAGCCGCTCGAATTGGATCACACAAATGTGTGTGGTCCGTTGAAATCAATATCAAATGGACAGAACAGATACTTCCTCACTTTCATTGATGATTACAGTGGGAAGACATAGGTGTATTTTCTCAAAAAGAAGTCAGAAGTGTTTGAAAAGGTCAAAGAGTTCAAAACTCTTGTGGAGAAGTAAATCAGTTATTATATCCAGACATTACGATCAGATCAAGATGGAGAATACAAGATGGATAAGTTTGACGAATTCCTTATGCAAAAAGGAATCAAACGACAGTTTACACCAGCTTATACTCTCCAATTGAATGGAGTAGCTAAACGAAAGAATCGTACAATCCTGAACATGGTCAGAAGCATGTTACGAGACAAGAATCTGCCCAAGAGTTATTAGGCTAAAGTAGTTTTGCGTGTAGCCTATTTGTTAAATAGATGTCCCACAAAATCCTTGACAATAGTATGGAGCACTCACAAGCCGAGTGTGAGTCATCTTAGAATCTTTGGCGGCATTGCCTACACCAAGATCCTAGAAACAATAAGAACAAAGCTTGAAGATAAAGGAGAGAAGTGTATCGTTGTTGGATATAATGACAATTCAATGGGGTACAAACTATTCAACCCCATCACAAAGAAAATGTTTTTCAGTTGAGATGTCATCTTTGAAGAAAATGAGTCCTTGAAATGGAACGAGACAGAATCCTCCACAAATGTGGAGCTGACAATTAAAAATGAAGAATCAAATCAACCAAAAGAAATGGCTAGGGAGCCACCATTACCCAGAGAGCAAGAGATATCTCTTCGTGTTTTTCCTTCACCACAAAGAAATGAAACTCAATCACCAATAGAACAAGAAATTTCAAACATGAGGCCCAGAATAATTCGTAATCTACAAGATTTGTATGAAAATACAGAAATAATTGATGAAGATACCAATTTATTCTGTCTACTGATGAGCAGTGATCCAATTAGCTTTGAGGAAGCTAATAGTGAAGATAAATGGAAGATTGCGATGGATGAAGAAATCAAGTCCATTGAGAAGAACAAGACTTGGGAGTTAATTACTCTCCCGAGGGGCTGCAAAAGTATTGGAGTGAAATGGGTCTACGAGACTAAAAGAAATGCTCAAGGAGAAGTTCAAAGATACAAGGCAAGACTTGTTGCAAAAGGCTACAAGCAGAAAGCAGGGATTGACTATGAAGAAGTCTTTGCCCCTGTTACTAGATTAGAGTCTATCAGGTTGCTAATATCATTAGCAGCACAGAAGAATTGGAAGATTTACCAATTTGATATCAAGTTAGCATTTCTAAATGGATTTCTTAAAGAAGAAATCTATGTAAACCAACCACCTGGATATGTGAAGAAAGACCAAGAAAACAAAGTGTACAAGCTTAAGAAGGCCTTGTATGGATTAAAGTAAGCTCCTACATGGGGATTGATGATTATTTTCAAGAGAATGGATTTGAAAAGTATCCTTACGAGCATGCACTCTATTTGAAGAAAGAAGCTGATGAGAGTTTGTTGTATGCATGCCTCTACGTTGATGATATGATATTCACTGAGAACAATCCAACAATGTTTGAATCCTTCAAGAAAAATATAGTCCTAGAGTTGGAATTGACAAGTATTGGATTGATGTGTCACTTTCTTGGCATCGAAGTAGTTCAAAGCAACGATGGAATCTTCATCTCCCAGAGTAATTATACAAAGGATATTCTCAAGAGATTTGGCATGGAGAACTGTAACTATGTCACAACACCTGTTGAAACAGGATTGGAGTTAAGTAAGAATAAACAAAGAGATGTTGATCCTACATATTTCAAAAGTTTGATTGGAAGCTTAAGATACCTAACTTGTATTGAGCTAGATATACTCTACGGAGTTGGCCTTGTTAGCAGGTACATGGAAACCCCTGACCAGTCTCATCTAAATGCAGCAGAGAGAATACTCCATTACATCAAGGTTACCATCAATGATGGACTATTCTATACAAAGCGTCAAGACTTCAGACTTATTGGCTATTCAGATAGCGACTGGGGAAGAGACATGGATGAAAGAAAAAGCATAACTGGATTTACATTTTTCATAGGAGATACAACTTTTACATGGTTATCAAAAAAGCAATATATTGTGAGATTGTCATCTTGTGAAGCCAAGTATGTTGCTACCAACTCAGTTGTCTACTAGTGTATATAGATCAGGAATGTGTTGAAGTATTTGGGATTTCCACAAATTGATCCCACAGAATTCTATATTGACTATTAGTCAGGAATTGCATTAGCAAATAACCCAGTTTATCATAAAAGAAGTAAGCCTATTGACACCTGCTATCATTTCATCCAAGAGCATGTGAAAAAAGAGGTGGAGTTATTGCCTTGCAAGTCTCAAGATCAACTTGCAGATATTTTCACGAAGCCATTACAAAATGATTTGTTTAACAAAATGAAGATGATGCTCGGGATGAAGCGGCATGGGGAATCAAGCTTAATGGGGGATGTTGAAAGTAAGCTTGATTCAAAGCAAGAGTAGAATTCAAGAACCTTGACTACCGTCCATCACTGTGTATTTGGAGGCTGCAAAGTCAAGAATGAAAGTTTCAATTTAGTTTTGGTTTGCCACTGTGTGTTTTTTTCTTGTGTTTAGATTGTTTGTTTACATTGTAGAATTAGTTTATAAATAGATTGAGTGGTTAGTTGTTTAATAAGAGTATGGGAGAAAGAAAAATATAAGAGAGAGAGAGAGAGGTGATTTGTAATATATGCTTTGTTTGTTTTTTAAGCGAATTTTAATTGAGTTTGGTTCAGTATTAATTCTTTCTTTGTGAATTATAACAAGTGATTTATACCTCACTTCCACCAACAGATTTTACTAGAATTGATTTACAATAAGATTTGATTAAGTTCAACTATTATGACATATTAGTAGTTTACCCTTAGAAAAATTTAGTAGTAATTAATGATATGTTAATGGGTATTAATGACATGTTAATGTTAGCAGTTACAAAAATTAAGTGAGTCTTAATATGAGTCCATAAGTTACAAATTTCTTTGATCAACAAAAAAGAAACTTCATTAACGTAATAGCATAGTACAAGATACATACAAACTTCACTAATTCCATAAGTTACAAATTATCATTTGAGTGATGATATAACAGAATATTCATATAGAATGATATGATTTAATGGTGACACTTCACATTAAAACAAAACAATCATAATTTGGCTTATATTTACAAAAATGTCTTTACCACATCATTTTTATTGTATTTTTTATATAAATTTTAAGCATGAAAAATGTAATATATCTAGTTGTAGGAGAATGTAAGTTACAAATTACGACATTATATGGGTCTTGTTAGGATGAAGGTTGGCTGTTGTATGATAGTCATTGCTATTCAAGGCAATGGAGCCTATTTCGGGTCCCTCTCAATGAACCGAATTGTTCAATATTAAATTTTTTTCAAGTAAAATATCCTTGTAAAATTCAAGTTGATCTGACATTGATAACACTATGATCAAATCAATTTTGTATCAATAAAAATAAATGATAATGCAATTTGAGTATAAAACTAAATACGAAATTGATTTAGTCATAGTATTATTCTGCTTTTTTGTAAGGATATTCTACTCAAAAATTCAAAATATTAAACAATTCAAATTATCGAATCAAGATTCGAAATGGCCCTATCGCTTGAACAATAGTGACTATTATGCAAAGGCATAGCAATTACCCTTCATCTGTCTTATTAACATGTGTCCTTGGGGCACATGTTAGGAATGTAATTAATGAATTTAACTACTTCCACTTATATAGGGAATGTAAAACATAAATAGAATTAAATATGGTGATTTTCAAAAAATTAATTGTTTTTCTACATGGACAAAAATGTCCTCACATTTAGAAAAAAAAAATATTAATATTTCATTATAAAAAAATTATAAATCACATAAAATAATATACTTTTATCTGGAAGATCATTTAAATGAAGCAATTTCTTGGAATGGATTGATGAATTTCACTTACAATTATATCTTCATCCATTAATGCTACAATATTAGACACCCTTCCTCCCCCCCTCCATCCAAAAAAAAAAAATTGCAATCCATTGATAATATTATAACAAAATATGAATAAAAATGCATTTCAAATGATTTCAAAATATAATAAACCAAACAAATAAAAATACTTTATTTATAATTATATAACCACTCTATGTGTTGCAAATTTTGAAAAAAAAAATTATAGTTACAATAAAATAAATTAATAGAAGGAAAATTAACGGTGAAATTGAATAAAATACAAAGAGGTTATTTTGGTCTCTATGTAACAAAAAAAGCAAAAAACAAAAAATTCTTTAAGCCTCGTTTGGGAAGAGACTATTTTAGTAACTTTTTTTCCATTTTACGAAAAAATGTGCAGAAAAACAGTGAAAGTGATGTAACAACTTATAATGACTTTTTGATTTTTTAGTTAAAACATTTAATCCCCAAACGAGGCCTTAGTCTTACTTACTACCTTTAAAAGTTTTTACTATACTTTCTAAGTTTCTATATAAATTAGAGTAAAATTGTAGGGTTTAGGATCTACTTGTACTCATTTAATGTCTTACTTAACATATGTCCTTAGAACACATTTTAACAAAAGTTTTTTTTTTTTTTGAAGCAAAGAAGAAGTAAAATTTATTGATAATGATCATGCAAAGATACAATGGCAATCATCAATAAAGAAAGAGGGGAGGCAGAGTGACATCTCCCAAGTTGGTAAGACACCAACACAAAAAGCAAATAGCATAAGAGAAGGCAAAGGAACTGCAACTAGAGAGGAACTTCAGCAGCAGCAGCCCAGAACCTCAGCAAATAGCATAAGGACTTTTAGCCCAGAACCGCAGCACAAGAGAAGGCAAGGAACCTCAGCAGCAACCCAGAACCTGTCTACTCCCCAAACTGCCTCTGATTTGTCTGAAGTTGAACAATTAGTCGTGAATTGTGAAATGAAAATCCTTGAATTTGTGATTTAGCCAAAGTGCAACTCTAATCTTAATCAAGTCACACAAGTCCTCCAATTTATGTGTAATAGATTGGAAAATGCACTCATTCCTAACCTTCCATAGAGACCATAAAACTGCCAGAGGAGTAACCTTCCAAAGCATCTTTTCCCTTTTGTTCACATTATGCCAATCCCACCAATGTAATGCAGCTTCCACAGACCCTGGTAAAGCCTCTTGTATCTCCCACCAATTCAACATTGCAGCCCAAACCTTCCATACAAAATTGCAGTGCAACAGCACATGGCATAAAGTTTCATTCTCAGCTTTACAGAAAACACAAAGGGCTGGAACATTAGCCTGAATCACACCAATTTTCTGAAGAAAATCTACTGTTTTGACTCTGTTTTTCCAAGCTAACCAACAGAAAAATTGAACCTTTGGAGGAGCAAATTTGTTCCAGACCAACTTCCAAGTACTAAGGAGAGGATCAAGGGAAACGACTGCACTATGGTAAGCAGAGGAGACAGAAAACTGCCTAGAACCTGCAGCCAGCCAAGAAAGATTGTCCTCCTGATCATGACCTAGGCCAGTGACAGACTACAACAGCACTTTGAGTCTACTAACTTCCCTATCCTCCCACTCGAACAACCTTCTCCTCAAGTTAAAATTCTAGCGCACTGAGGCAACCCACCCTCCTGTGATACATTGATCTCAGGGTTTGATCATTTTCCATCACCAATCTAAACAGAATGGGAAAATCATCTTTTAAGCATAAATTGTTACACCATTTGTCCTTCCAAAAGTTAGTACTTCGACCATCCCCTACCTTAACCTGAACATTGCAAGAGTAAAACATTAACAGATTGCTTCTCCTCTCAAGTAAGGAAATGATTCCTTTCGACACACAAGAGTACTTGTTGCTGGAGGTAGAAGAGGGGAACTAGCTTTTGACATCCAGATTGTATTTGCTGCAAATAATCTTTTTCAACAAAGCACCTTTTTCTTTACCAAATCTCCACCACCACTTTAATAGCATACAATCATTAACGAACCTAACTCTCTTAATGCCTAATCCTCCCTGCTTCACACTGTAGACACCCCATTTTTGACCGTCCTCAAGACATGGACGTCACCGTTTGAACACCTGGTGATCATCCATGTTTGTGTTCGTTTGGAGTTCCCGGAGGTCTCGGCTACGCGCCTTGCCTCAGGATCTCCGAACTCGACCGTTTAGTGTCTAGTTTCACACCAAACACTTGTGTTTTGCCTTGGAGAGGTAGGGATTGCCTTATGAGGCATCCCCACACATCACCGGCCATGGCCACAGGCCACTGGCTGGTGTTTTGTTGCCGTCGGCAATCTATTTTGCCGGTCGGCACTCAATTTTGTCAAAATGGCATTTTTGAGGAGCCGACTACTGTTCATCTACTTTATGTAGATATTTTGTGCCAGCTGTGATAGCTGGCACCAACTCTGCTTCCCTCCATACACGTGTATGGAGGGATTTCCCTCTTAGCAAGCTTGTTGTGTAAGCTTTGCAAGAGGGACTTCTATAAGAGGAGAGCTCTTCTCATTGTTCTTGGTTAGAAATTTGAAGGCAAAAACCAGAGCTTAGATACACCCTCTCTCTATATTTCCCTCTCTCTCCTCCCTTGTGTGTGTTTCTTGGCCTAAAAGTGTGCTTTTACCTTACTTTTGCACTAATACATTGCAAGAGGGACTTCTATAAGAGGAGAGCTCTTCTCCTTGTTCTTGGTTAGAAAATTTGAAGGCAAAAACCAGAGCTTAGATACAACCTCTCTCTATATTTCCCTCTCTCTCCTCCCTTGTGTGTGTTTCTTGGCCTAAAAGTGTGCTTTTACCTTACTTTTACACTAATACACACACTATTACACCTTGCTCCGAGATTGAGGGGCTTTGAGGGTTGATTCTTGAGTTTTGGGGCTATTTTTGATCAAAAGAAGAGGGCTGCATTGGCTGTTCTTGAGGTGTACTTCAAGGGTGAGCACTTTGCTTTAGTTTCCCCAAACTTGCACTAGCCTTTTACCTATCTCGCTTGCTGATTTAGTTTTTGTGTATAACATAAAAAAGGCTTATATTTTCATTCTTAAGAACTTTCATTAAGGGTCTTTTGTGGTTTGACTTCAAACTCACCCTCTTAGGCCTTATTTGGCCCTTTTGGTGTTTCCTTTGTGAGC